GTCCCTGTAAGACTGTTGAAGCAGCAAGGACTTTTTGAGTTTTAAGCAAAGGCTCCACGACATCCCACCTGTCCCCAGGAGAGATTTGCTGGGGTCCAGATGGCCTGAAGGACATCTTCAGCACAAGGAAATGGTTGGGAGAAGCAGCACAGGGTACTCCTGGTGACCAACGAAAGACCCTAATTCAACCCAGAGCAGGGACAGGGTGCCAGCACGCTCTGGGGGTCCTGTGCCTTGCACACTTCAGCAGAGCTACTGAGGTGTATCTCTCTGTGTGTGGATGCATCCTGGGGGGTGAGTGAGGGGCCTGAGGCTTCTGGGATGGTTTCAGTCAGTGGCTGTGGGTCCTGTTCAGGAGGAGAGAAAGGGGAGGTTTGAAGAGGACTTGGAATTGAGTGGGGGAACTCAGAGACCACCAGCCTGGCCTCCTGCCAAGCAATAGGAGTGAGTCTTTAAGAGCAGGAGTGTTTCAGGCAACCTGCATCATTAATCCACTCACTCATTCATTCATCCATTCATAGTAGATAATGCCTACAGTTCCCAAGTGATGGTGTCACGGAGCTCAAAGACAGAAAACCAAGTTTACAGGCAGAGCAGACTTGAGTTGTGGCTGGCACTGGGCAAAACAGCCTTATGTGGAGTGAACCAAAGAAGGTATCTCTCAAAACTCATAATTTGGGCCAAATCTGAAGACAGCAGAAAGGAGCACCCTCCCCACCTTGCCCTGACCCAGGGAAAAGGTACGAATGTTAGTTCCAGAAGCAAAGGCCCTGAGGCAGACAAAACCCACAATGCCTCAGGTCAGGACCCCAGGGAAACAAGTCTGTGCTGGTTTCTCAGCTGGGACTGTACATAAAAGTCCCAAGGCCAGACTGTATCCTAGGAAGCAGGGAGACCTGGTGTCAGCTTGGTTTTATGGCATTTGTTGCTTTGCTTGCTAATTTTATTACACAGGACACATTGGCTACTTCTGTGTTGCTGTGATAAAACACCATGACCCAGCGCAGCTTAGGGAAGAAGGGGATATTTAGGCTTACGGTTCCAGAGAGATAGAGTCCGTCATGGTGGGGAGGTATGGAAGCAGGAGCAGGAAGCCCAGAGGTGGAATTTTACCTACACACAGGAAGCAGAGAGCAAGAGCAGGAAGTGGAGGGGCCTGGAAGGTCTCAAAGCCCGCCCCCAGCAGTGGACTCCAGCAAGGCTGCACCTCCAACCTCCCGAAATGCCTTCCTGGCTGCAGCACGGAGCTAATGGGAGCAGGTGCTAAGTCCAGAGTCTGCTTAGACTGGTGGGGTGTTACTGCTCCATTCTACAGTCGGGGAAAGTGGGGGCCAGGGGAGGGTCTGCCCCTTCACAATCGTCAGCCTTGGGTTTCCAGTTTCCGATGTCCACCTTGCTGATCTGGCTAGCGATGACTGTAGGGTCCCAGGTTCCTAAATAGTGATGGTGTTGATGTTGGTGGTGATAGTGACAATAATAACAGAGATGGTGGTGGTGGTGGTGATTACGGTGGTGACAATGGTGATGATGATGATGGTGATGGCAGTGATGAAGGGGATTGCATTGGTAGTGATGGAGATGACCGCTGCTTTGTGAGCCCTGATCTATGGTAGCTCATTTTATTCACACTATTGGGAATGAAAAGTTTTCATTAGCCTCATTCTGCTGGTAGGGTCATGAAGCCCCTGTGGTCAGTTCAGATGCTGCCATTTAGAAGCACAAGTACTGGAAGCCATGGCTTGACAAAGTTGAAAGGAGAGGCTCCCAGTCTTTGGAAGCAGTGACCGGAACTACTAAAATCCATCCTTGCTCATTTGAAACCAAAAGCAGGACCACTGCCTTCTTCCTCTCTTTGTTTTGTCCCTGTCGATTTTTAAATGTTTGTGATTCCACTCAGCAGCGGTCTGTGAAATGCATTCGTCCCTTGGCTTGCTCACCCCCGAGGGCTGGCTGCCACACTAATGCTGGCAGGACCCACATCCTCTGAGCAGAGCAGACGGCCTCGGCCCTCACGCTGTTTACCTTGTTTATCCCACTAAGAGTGACCCAAACAGAGCAGGAGACATACGGAACAGCTGTGGCGGGCGCCAAACCGTTCATGGCTGTTCAGCATTTTCTGATGGATGAAGAAACAGTCGTGGCACATGAGGGAAGCCAGAGCTCTGTGCTGGCTGCAGGTGTTTGCCCAGAGCCCTGGTGGGCATGATCATGCAATCAGGCTCCTCCTGAGTCCCACAGTCCCCCACGGAGGGCCCTGAGCTCCATGCAGAGTGCAAGGTGGTGAAGGAAAGATGAAGTCTATAGCAGGATGAGCAGGGAAGCCAGCAGACAGACACAGTGGCAAGGCGCTGAGGGAGAGGTCTTGGGGAGACTGCTTTGGCTTTGTGCCCTCTTTCCTTCACATACAAGAGGGGTTCATGTGCCTAGACTCCCATGCGGTTGGGGAAGGCAGCAACCAGAGTTGCAGCAGCAGCCTGTCCGTGTTGAGCCCAGGCAGGCTCTCCACACTTTGGTGTTCATTGTGTTCAAACCATCACCTCTGCCAGCCTGCAGCCCAAGCAGCAGTGTGAGGAGGGGACCACTGAGCTCTCATGGAAGCACAGTGTGAGTAGGAGGCAGACGTTGGTCCTGGGAGGTCCCTGAGATTTCAGGGTGAATTTGCAGCTGCAGTGCGGCCTTACCCATCCCAGCTGGTACCCAGACACAGTTATCCAGTGCTCAGGCCACAGAGGCAGGGTAGGGAAGAGGTGTGACCACAAGACTTCTTGGGATGTGAGGGATTACCTGAGCCCTGCGGTGGTAGAGGAAGCAGATTCTGGCAGAAGGAACCACCAGTGTGGGCACTGAGGAAGGTGTTTGGTACCCTGCATGTGATGGCTGATCTTCACTGTCTACTTGGGCGTTGATTGTCACCAGACTTCTACCTCCATAAACATGACCATGTGGACAAGGGGCTCCATAGCTTGTGATGAGAGTCTAGGAAGCCCCTCAGGTTTGGAATACACTCCCTAGGGATGGGGCGATTCCCATGATGTGTGCATGAAAGACCGTGGTGATTTTGTGTTCCCCAAAATATTGTGCACCCTAATAAACTTATCTGGGGTCAGAAAACAGAACAGCCACTAGATACAGAGGCCAGAAAATGGTGGCACTCATGCCTTTAATCCTAGCATTCCTAAGGCAGAGATCCATTCGGATCTCTGAGTTCAAAGCCACACTGCAAACGGCCAGGCAGGGTGACTCACGCCTTTAAACCCAGGAAGTAATGGCAGAAAGCAGAAAGGTATATAAGGTATGAGGACCAGGAACTAGAGCTGGTTAAGCTTTTAGGCTTTTGAGCAACATTTCAGCTGAGATCCATTCTGGATGAGGACTCAGAGGCTTCCAATCTGAGGAAACAGGATCAGCTGAGGAATTGGCAAGGTGAGGTGGCTGTGGCTTGTTCTGCTTCTCTGATCTTCCAGCATTCACCCCAATACCTGGCCCTGGATTTGTTTTTATTAATAAGACCTTTTAAGATTCGTGTTACAAAAGACTACAAATTTTCAGTGTGTGTGTGTGTGTGTGTGTGTGTGTGTGTGTGTGTGTGTGTGTGTGTGTATGAAGGCCAGAGGACAACCTCAGCTGTCACTCCTCAGAAGCTCTCCTGCTCTAGTCTGTTTTCTGTTGCTGTGATAAACTCCAACCAAAAGTAACTTGGGGAGGAAAGGGTGTATTTCCCCTTACAGGTCACAGTCCATCACTGAAGGAAGTCAGGGCAGGGATTTAAGTCAGGAACCTGAGGCAGACGTGAAGGAGCACTGCTTACTGGCTTGCTCCTTGTCTCATGCTCAACCAGCTTTCTCATCCAGCCCAGGACCACCTGCCTGGGGTGGTGCCACCCACAGTGGGCTGTCCCCTCTCACGCCAAGCGTCAGTCAAGATGATCTGTCTCAGACGTGGCCACAGGGCAATCTGGTTTGGGTAATTATTCAGACGAGTCTCCTTCTTCCTAGGTGACTTTAGGCTGTGTCGTGTTGACAATCAATCTTACCGGCCTGTGCCCACCTTAGTTTTGGAGACAGTGTCTCTCACTGGCCTGGCTCTCACCGATTTGCCTAGTCCGGCTGGCCAGTGAGACCCAGGGGCCCTCCTGCCTCCACTCCTCTGCACAGGGATTACCGATGTGCACCATTGCATGCAGCTTTTATGTGGGTTCTGGGGTTCACACGCAGGTCCTCATGCCTTTGTGGCAAGCAATTTACAGACTAAGCTACCACCCTGGCTCCATAATTTCCTTTTTGGAGACAGTCTCTTTAAGCAGCCTGGGCTGACTGCAAACTCACAATCCCCCTGCCTCAGCCTCCTGAGTACTGGAATTATGGGTGTGAACCTCCACACCCAACCTGTAATGATAGACTTTAAGAAAAAAATTTACATAGCTCACCCAGATCATTGCACTGTTTGGGATACAATTGTGTCAAGCTAGAGGACAGTGCTTGCTCAAAGTCGACTCCAAGAAAATACTGTAGAAACCGGTCAGACGCGGCGCAGGGTGAACGCTCACGGAATGGTTGGGAGAGGGTGACTTCAAGGGGCACTAGAGCCAGCCCAGCGGGTGCAAAGACACTTCCCCAGCTCTCTCCCGAGCTCTTTCCTCACCCGTGTAGTCAGGAGAATAAGCTCCAAAGACGGGGGCTATGATCCACCCGCGTTACCTCATTTCCTATTGTCTGGGCTGCAGCCATCTTCAAAACGCAGCCTGTGCAGGTCTGAGGGCACCAGCCACGGTTGGGTGCAAGAAAAATGAAGAAAAGAGAGGTAAAGTGGAGACGCAGGCTGTCTTAATCAGGGTCACCACTGCTGTGATGAAACACCACGACCGAAGCAAGTTGGGCAGGGAAGGGTTTATTTGGCTTATACTTCCACATCATAGTTCATCATTGACAGGAGTCAGGACAGGAACTCAAGCAGGGCAGGAACCTGGAGGCAGGAGCGGATGCAGAGGCCATGGAGGGGTGCTGCTTACTGGCTTGCTCCATGGCTTGCTCAGCCTGCTTTCTTATGGAACTCGGGGACGGCACCACCCATAATGGACTGGGCCCTCCCCTATCAACACTAATTTAAAAAATGCCCTGCAGTCTTGCTCATAGCTGGGTCTTATGGAAGCATTTTCTCAACTGAGGTTCCCTCCTCTCGATGACTCTAGCTCATGTCAAGTTGACATAAAACTAGCCAGCACAATTGGCTCCTTGTCAACTTGACACCCAAACACATCACAGTTAAGCCACAACCTTTCCTTTCTTATTCATCCCCAAGATCATCATTAATATCAATGTCAATATTAATATCAATAACAATATAAAACAGTTTGCAAACTTAAAAAGTCCCATGGTCTTTACAAATTCAAACACTTTAAAATTCAATCACTTTAAAAATCCAAAGTCTCTTTTAAAACAAAAATCTCTTTTTAAAATTGATTCTCTCAACTATGGGCTCTTATAAAATAAAAAGAAAGCTAAATATTTCCTTACTTCAAGAGGAAAGAACCAGGGCACAGTCACAATTGAACAAAGCAAAATAAACTCATAAACAAACAGCATAAATAATTCATTGTCCAGTATCTGGAACTCACTCACGATCTTCTGGGCTCTGCCCTCTGCAGCACACAAGTTTGTCTTCTAGGCTCAAGCTGGCTCCACTCCACAGCTGCTGCTGTTCTTGGTGGTCATCCCATGATACTAGCATCTCCAAAATGCTGGGGTCTACCCTTTTACCAATAGCCTCTCCTGGGCTCTCTTCAGGAACTCCATCCTGCCACGGTGCCAAGAAGCCTCAGCTGCTCTCCATGACCCCTTCATGCCTTCAAAACTAGTGCTACCTGGATGACTCTTACACAGGACCAGTTTGGCTGATAGCACAAGGTACAACCTTGGCCACCTCTGGAACACAGCTTCTCTGTGCTGACCCTGAGGAAACACTTCCCAGAAGACATCACCTCAGTGATGCTGGCCTCTTCTTAAGCACAGCTGCTTCTCCAGCCCCAGCTGCCCAGCATCCATTGTCCCAGCAAAGAGAAGGTTTTTCTTTAGTGGTTCTGGTCTCTTGTTAATCACGGCTGACTCTTCAGCTCCAGCTGACCAGATACCACAGATTCTTCACATTAAGGGCCTGGAAGAGTCTTTGCTTTCCTCTGAAACTTCACAAGCCAGGCCTCCATTGCCTGCACTGGTCTCAACATTCTTATCTTCCAAGCCCAACCTTATGGAGGCATTTTCTCAATTGGGGCTCCCTCCTCTCAGATGACTTTAGCTTATGTCAAGTTGACATAAAACTAGTCAGCTCACAGACTTCCATATGCCAAGCCCCACTGTGGTCCTCAAGGAAGCAGGTAATGAGGGATACTCTCCAAGCCCAGGCATCAAGGTCCTACTCTGGGCAGATGCTCCAGGAAGGACAGCCTGGAGATAGAGTCATACCTTCACATCCACACCAGGGCCCACAGATGTTGTATGCATGGTCACACCTTCCTGGCCACACCAGGGCCCATGGATGCTATGTGCATAGTCACACTTTCATGGCCACACCAGGGCCCATGGATGCTATGTGCATAGTCACACTTTCATGGCCACACCAGGGCCCATGGATGCTGTGTGCACAATCACACCTTCATGGCCACACTAGGGCCCATGGATGCTGTATGCACAATCACACCTTCATGGCCACACTAGGGCCCATGGATGCTGTATGCACAATCACACCTTCATGGCCACACCAGGGTCCATGGATGCTGTATGCTCATTAGGCCATGGTTCTCTCATTCTTGCCCCAATCTGGGCACGGTTTCCACCAATGGTCCAGAGTCATCAACTTGCAGTGCTTATTTTTGGCTTTTTTCCATTGCTCACATAGCAGGCGACCAGCCAGACACATTTGGCTTTACGATTCCAGCGATGGACAGGATAGAAGGGAGGCCAGTATCTGTGTTGACACAGAGATGCCTGCTGTGTCTCTTTGATGACAGTGTTGAAACATGTTCTAGCCAAAGGGACAGGCCCACCAAGGACTGCAGGAGACAGGTACAGGTAGCAGAGTCTAGAGTTTCCATTTTTGCCCTGTTTCCACCAAGGTGGTGGCGGGGTGGTCCGGCCGCCCTAGTGTGCAGGGTGCAGCTGGCTAGACACCTGCACATCCACCCCGGTGTGGTGATTGGCTTGCTGTATCAGCCAAACTAGCATTTGCTACCACATTTTCACACGGCCCTGTACTCAGTTGAAGGAGCCGAGGGGCTGGCTGTGTCCACATGGTGGTTGCCAGTCCAGGGAAGGGAAAGGGACTCGTGAGCCACAGCCATTCTCAGAGCAAGAGTGAACTTGCCCTGTCTTCCACACCCTCCTGTTCTTCCAGCTGCTCCAGCTTTCCCTTGCATATGTGGTATTCCTGTGTCAGACCCAGAAGAACCAGGGTCCCCAGCACTACCCAGGCCCTCTTCTTAGCCCATATGCTCTGCCATGGCTCTCAGGCATTTTCCATTTCCTATCCCGAAGAGCCTTGGCTTCGTCTAGTCCGACCCACTAGGCAGTGCAGGTGGAACCAACAAAGGATCTTTGAGTTCCAGGTTCCAAGGCAATGCTAATTCCGCTGTCCAGAGCCCATTTTTGAGACTCATAACCAGATAACCAAGACTATCTGTGTTCAGTGGCAGACAGTTCTGTTTCCTAGCAGGGAGGCAGGAACAATATTCCATCTCTGTCAGCCAGAAAAGTACCAATTGTCTAGTCAGCAGCAAGGCATCTCACCTCATCTGCCGGTGACAGCACAGAGGAGCATCACCCCTCCTGTGGCATAGACATCTGCAGTTTACAGATTGGTCTGCCTGTCAATCACACGGCCAAGCAGCAGCTGCACTGCCTGGATGGTGGAGGCTGGGTGACTGACAGGTGCTTTCTTTGTTCTGTAGGACCACTAACTGGGGGCTTACACACACACCCGAGAACTTCATTTTCAGCCAGGCATGCTGGTGCATATCTGTGATCTTGGCACTCAGGGGGCTGAGGCAGGAGGATTGCCATCAGTTTGAAGCCAGTCTGGGCCACATAGGGAGATTTGCTCCAACTGAAAGCAACTCTGCAGAATGATATTAATATCTTTTTCAGCAGCTGAGCTTCTGCATCCCCTCCCCCACTCCCATAGGACCAATACCCATGGAGAACAGCATCAGACCTACAGACCTATCGGGTCCCCAGGAGACCAGGCCAGCTGCCCTCCAGGAGAAGAGAGGATACAGTACCTCAGGGTGGTGAGGTCAGCTTCCTGCTGCTCACAGCGCTCCTTCCTGGGGAATGCAAGTCCCACATAGATGTCACTCACAGGCAAATGGGCCTAGAAAAAAAAAAAAAAGTCACTCACTGTCCCCTGACAGGAGCAAATAAACAGTCCAGGGAGAGCTGGTCTTGGAGGGGTTTCATCATGCAGGTCATGAGGCCAGCCACTGCTCTAGACTCCAGTGTGCTCCCCATGCATGCCATACCCCAGATACACACACATATCCACACACACGATCACATGCACCCCAGGTATGCACATGTGCGTACACAACCAATACACACACATGCACGCAATTAAGCAATTGCCAGCTCTGATTCTTGTCCCCTTATCTGAATGAAAGGCAGCACTACACAGAGGCATGGCCGGCCACCTTTACAAACACTCCGGCCATCCTCAGACATACCTGTGCAGAACTGAACTCCAGGTTCAGGGAAGAGACTTGGATGGGCAGAATGGCACTGGAGGACCTGGCTGCACAGAACCACACCGATAAAAAATATCAGAGTCACATTCTAGAAATGCTTTCGTCTCAAGTTCCTGCCTTCCCTTGGGAGGTCAAGAGTTGGCAAGGTGTGACAGTACAGATAGCCAGATGCACCGGAGAGACTTCATCCTTCAATGGATGAGGTCGATTGACCACACTGCCTAAACACACACACACACACACACACACACACACACACACACACACACACAGAGTCCCCCACCCCACCCAGACCTTTGTTGTCCTTTCTGCCTGACTGTGTGGTGAGAACTCTGCAGAGGATAAATTGATGGCCTGTGTTATGTCCACCCATGGGGACTCCTCCACGCCTGTGGAGTCAGGAGGGACATTCAAAGCAGCAGGTGAGTTCACAAGGGAGAGAGGAGCAGCCTTCTCTGCCTCCCACCCTCCATCCATCATTCCTCCTCTTCCTTCTTCCCTCTCTCTCTCTCCCTTTCTCCTCTCTGTTCCTCCAGTCACCTCATCAGCCAGCACTAGTGGTCAAGAATTGCCACATGTGGCCCGAGGGGAACCCAGAGATACGGAGATAGAGATATCACCAAGATGAGCCTGCCCTTCAGAAGCCTCACAGGCCAGCGAAGCCATCTTTGGCTTGTTTTGTCTCCAGCCTCCCTGTGAGCTGTGGTCCTCAGGACCTCACCAGGTAGAGCTGCCACCAGGCTTCCTGCCAGTGATGATGCGAGCATCACTGTAGCCGCTCCTGAGCCCAAGCGGGCCAGTGAACAGGAGCGCATGTGTGGTCCCAATACATGGTCACCCCAGTGGCATGGAAGTCACCTCGGCTGCCAGGCCAGATGCTGCCAAGCCTGCCTGGCCCCTTCTGCATTTTGTAAATGGCCCTGAAGTCCAGTTCCCCCAGCTCAGCAGAATTCCTACAGCCCGACCATCCTGGTTTTGTGCTGACCGCAGCACATTCCTTCCTGGCTGGTTAAGCCCCTGAAAGGGGAAGAGGGAAAGCCCAGATCAGCTCGTGGCTGCACTACCTCCAGCCTCCCTGTGTCCCCCACTACACGGCAGCCTGTCATTTGGCTTGTAGCTGCTGCTCAGACCCTGAAGGGCTTCACTGCTCACAGGCATTGTGACGTTAGCGGTGACCTGGCTCTGCAACCCCATAGCCCCACAGTATGGAATGTTCCAAGTTCCTCCTCTCACAGTCATTTCCCTTCCTCTTCCTTGTTGAGAAAAGGATGGCTGTGTGGGAAGAAGGGAGGGCCAGGACACAGTGACCCCAGTTCATACCTCATAACACCTTGGGAGATGGCAAGGTGCACAGGATTGAATCTGGGTCTGCTTTGTCTGTCTGTTGAATCCGGGGCCAGCAGGTGTCCTGAGGTCAAGAGCATTTGGATGTGATACAGATAATGCCACCAAAGACTCCCGTGTGGCTGCAGAGAGTCCCTTACTCTCTTTGGGCCTCAGCTTTCCAGTGGCAGAGGTTTGGACACACACATACACACACAGATGTGTGTATGTACGTATGTATGTGTGTGTACATTCATGTATCATATACATACACACATGTACACACATAGATAGATAGATAGATAGATAGATGACAGATCAATAGATCGATAGATCAATAGATAGATAGATAGATAGATAGATAGATAGATAGATAGATAGATAGATAGATAAACTCTTAGCCAAAGAACTTGGCCACCTGATGCCACCAGCTGCTAATCTTCACACATCATCACTGTTCTGGGGGAGGCTGTCACCTAGACAGGATTGAGAAGCTGGGTGACATACAGTGGGGTGAGCCAGAATGTTGGATAAATTGGAGAGGGCAGAAGGGTGGCCTCTTCCATCAGAAGGAAAGGATAGGGCAGGTAAACACCTTGTTCTGTAGTGCATCCCCGAGGGGCTCAGCCAGGTCAGCCAGAGCCCTAGAGAGAAGGTGGCCCCTGGGGGACCTTCTACTGGGCAGCCATGGCAGCTCCCCTCCCCACTCCACTTCTACTGTCTTGATCTCCAAACATCCAGGTGGGATGCGGCCTGATCGAGAAAACAGAAGCAGGTCCTGAAGCTCGTTTGAGGGGTAACAAAAGGTTGGACATTGGGGCAGGACATGACTCACAGCTGGGGTATGTGGTGAAGCAGCAGACCTACTTACTTCAGGGCTGGGGAACTCTGAGAGAGTGAAGATGAGCCTGGGCTCCCATAACCCTGCTACATCACCCTCAAGGTCCTGAAGACCCCCAAATCCCCGTCTCTTGAAAGTATAACCTCCTTCCAATTACACCAAGCTGGGGCTCAGGCCTATGATATATGACCTTTTAGGGACACATACTCAAACCTCAGCAGTGATGCAGCTACCAAGCACAAAGCTGGAAACTACTACATAGAAATAGTTCTGTCCCCAGGGGAGGGCCACACACACTTCTTCCAGTCAGCGTGTGGCCAGGAGCCTGTGCTGCAGATGAGACAGGGAAGTGTGGTGGGGACCAGATACCGCCCCTCATCCTCAGCAGTGTGGACTCATGCGAGGGTAGGTTTCTTCCTTAGGTGGCTTTTGTCTAATGGACAAGGGTTTGCTCAGCCCCATCTCCAGCCTGACGGGAAGACGGGCTGTCTGCTAGCCGGGGACTTCATTCCCGATGCCTCAGAATATTGACCTTAAGAATCAGAGCGCAGAGAGCCAAAAGCGGCCTCTACCCGTCCCCAGGGTCTCTCTGTCTCTCTGTGTCTGTCTGACTCTTTTCTGTCTCTGTCCTATTTCTTTCTATCTCTGTCCCTCTCCCACATCTCCCCCCGTATCTTTCTGTCTATCTGTCTGTCTGTCTCTCTCTCTCACCCTCTTTCACGCCCCCCGCCCCCCGTATCTCTGCTGCTCTCACATCCACACAGGTGTTCCTACACAGCCTCTCAGACACCCTCTTGTTCTCATTCACACGCGTGTGACGCACACAGACAACAAAGGCCACTGTCTCTGGTTCGCTTCGGGGGTTTTCCCCTAATTCCCTAGAACTTTCCCATTTATTTCCTGTCCTTGGGAAAGGGAACGTTTTAAATCCTTTTGGGGTTTCTCATTAAGACCCTGACAAATGAGGGCTAGGGAGGCCTGAAAGCCCACCACATCACCAAATATGGGATAAGAATGCACCCCTCCCCCTCCCCCATCTCCCATAAGTCATGACCGCAGGCCTACCTATGGCCCGCAGGCCGCTCCTCAGGCTAGCCTCACCCAGCTCCCAACAAATACTAAATTGGCCATTGCGGCCACACAGGCTTCCCGGTGAAACCCAAGAAGCCAACGGGTTAACCCTTCAAAACAATGCCCGGCTTTCTTTCAAGCCGCCAGCCTGTCCCAGGCGCCCTGCCTGGGTCTGATTGACAAGGCCCTTGGGAGCCACAGGGTGAGGCCCTGTCAGGCGCTGGCCTTTTCTGGGGCTTAGGGGCCCCAACAGATCATCTGGATGGGGCAGTGGGGACCCATCTTTCAGCCTCCCCTGTCAGAATTCCTGCCTCCTCCTTGGGACTCCAGCAAAGGGGCCAGGAGGGAGACAGTCCATCCAGTTGTGTGGCCAGCCATACGGTCACACCTACAAACAGCCCGGGGCTCTGTCCAGTACCCAGCACCTGGGATGCCCTCAAGTGTGCCTAGTAGTGGAAGCCTGGGTCCGAGCCATGTGTCAGGAGCTTGGCCAGCTCACTGCCCTGGGTGGTGGCTGTCCTCCCTGTGATGGCCTCTGCTGGCCTGACACACCTGAGGTGGGCAGTGACCTCAGAGCACTGATCAGTGCCAGGCTAGTGGCAGCTCTTAGTCTTACTATGAAGACGGGGAAACTGAGGCTAGAGAAGCCGAGCAGTTTTCTTGGGACTTGAATCTAGTCTATTTGCCTCAGAACTGCAGTTTCCATCCCAGGGTCTCCCCACTAAGAAGTCCTACTGTTCTCCTGAGGCATCTCCCCAGTGGCCACAGGGCCTGGGGTCTATCTAGAGTCTTCCAAGGGTCTAGAAATCTAAGGAGGGAAACAATGATTGAATGGCCTGTGGCTCATTCCATCCATCCGGCCGCTCCAGATCTACCTTCCTGTCTTCAGGCGCGCACACCTGCTAGCCACAAGGCCTGCAAATATGCCTGATGTCAATATTCAGAAAGGCCCTTTCCAGCCACCGAGCTAATCACAGCCACCATTATGACTGACCTTTTTAACTGCTAGCTTTTCAGTATGGCAAAGCTGCTCCCCCATGACTGGACGGATCAGTTCAGGCATTGCCTTTTCGGTTATGGGTCTCCATCAAGAAAGAACCTCCTACAATCCATCACTGGCAAAGCCCTAGGCCCTGAGCAGAGCAGGGAAGGACCCCGGGATTGGATAGAGGCATGGGAAGAGCCATGGTTTGGTGGTATAGACCTGTTATCCCAGCTACTCAGGAAGCTGAGGCAGGAGGCTTGCCAGTTCCAGACCGACCTGGGCTATGGAGTGAGTTCCAAGCCCTCCTGGGCAACTTGGTGAAACCCTGTGTCAAAATAAAAGTAAAAAGAGGGCCAGGGGAGTGGCTCAGTGGTGAGCTGCTTGTCCAGCATGTGTGATGCCCTGGGTTCCATCCCCAGCATCACTTACGTGTGTGTGTGCACACACATGCACACTCACGTGTGCACACACACCAGGTGCAGGTGGTGTGCAGAGCAGTCTCCCATTACCTTCACATGGTGAGCAACTTTGACCATGGCCCACGATGTTTCCTTCACCATCCTCCTTCCCTGCCCCTGAATCCCACCCCACGCCGAGTCATTTTATTCAGTGAGCCCAATTCCTCCCTATGAGTGAAGAGTGGCAGGGTCTCGGCTCAAGATGGCCGGTGAAAAACCAGAATCCACTCCCTGGGGTGTGGAACTGAAACCGAGAAAGAGAATGAATCCGGCATTAAATTGTTGGATACATATGCTCTCCTGAGTGTGTTTCCCCAGACACGGGAGACCCGAAGAAGAGAGAGGAATAGAGCACACCAGAGAGAAAGAGTGGGGGGGATGGAGACGGGCTGGGGGGAGGAGAGAGGGAGAGAAGAGGGGAGGGAGGGAGGGAGAGAGAAAGAGGAGGAGGAGGAGGAAGAGCAGGGGCAAGGTCTGTGACTGAAGATGAAAGCCGACCTGGGCGGCTAGAGTGAGCAAAGAGAACATTCTAGAATGGAGTTGGGGGTTAGGGGTGGGGCTAGAGGGGCTAGAAGGACCAGGGCACAGAGGCCCTTGCTGACTCCCCCACCCCCCGCCACCTGTGTGTTTGTGTGTGTGGTGTATGCGTGTGTGTGTGTGTGTGTGTGTGTGTGTGTGTGGTGTGGTGTATGTGTGTGTGTTTGTGTGTGTGGTGTATGCGTGTGTGTGTGTGTGTGTGTGTGTGTTGTATGCATGTGTATGTGTATGTGTGTGTTTGTGTGTGGTGTGTGTGTGTGTGTGTGTGTGTGTGTGTGTGTGATTTATTTAGGTCCCACAGTGTTGAGAGACAAAGTATGAGGAACAGAGGTCAAGTAAATGACTTAAGGTCATCCAGCTACAACATGGGAGGTCTGAAGCTTGACCAAAGGACACGGGACCCCCCACAGCTCTGCCAGACCCCCCACAGCACCCCGTCCTTTGACCAGAAGAAACTTAGCTGCCTAAATCACAGTCATTGTCACAACGTGGTGATTGCTTTCCCAGCACAGCGTGAGGGTGAGGGTGGGTGATGTCCCCCCAGCTGTATAGAACGCACTGACTTTCCCACACCAGACAAGCACTTGCTTCCAGCACCACCACCACCCTCCCCCCCCCCCCCCCCCCCCCCCCCCCCCCGCTCTTTTTTTTTTTTTTTTTTTTTGCTCCTCGCTGTTGGGATTGGGGGCGGGGATGGGGGGTGGGGGTGGGTATTGTGCATTCCCTGATGGCACTGGGCACCTCTCACATGGGCCCATTTGAGTACAAAGGGCATGGTGTCCATTTGTCTGTATGGTGTCACAGCGAACACGGACAGGGGCTGGCATTGCTCATGGGGACCCATGTCCACTCGGAGAGTGGACAGAGTCTGGAAATGCGATGGTGGTGACAGCTGCCGTAGTCTGAGAGGGTTTCAGGCCATGAGGACATTTCTTTTTCCAAGTTGATAACATGGCGGTAAGAGGAAGCCCCACGGGCTGCATCACACTCCTCAGTGGGGAAACTGGATCTAATTTTGTCATCTCTTAACCTGCCCTTTCCCCTTGTATTCTGATACATAGATCAGGAATGTACCTTAAGGGGAATGTCTCAGAAGGGCTGCCAGTACTGCTCTGTGCATCGAGGTCAGCTGCCAGCACGATGCAGAGAATGTGCTGAGCCCTTGCTTCGATCTGCAAAACAGAACATGAGATGTCCCCATCTGCATCTCCAAGATCACCCCGAGTTCACAGGCACCTGGCTGAGTCGACGCCCAGCCCTGTATGGAAGCTTGAAGCACATGAACTAATAACAATTACTCGTCGCTGGGTCAACTTTTACAGACACATTTGGACTGCATTTCAGGCAATTTTATGGGCAAATGCTATTTTGAGCGGTTCCCAAATTCCCAAATTGCACGTGAAGCGTCTCGAGGGCAAACATGTGGCCTTTCCAGCTTGCAGCTCTCAGACATAAATCTGAAGCTATCCCAAGACAAAAACTAGTCCAATACAAACTGTAATGCACCCTCCTAGAGGGCCAGGCGGTGCCCAGCTGGCATATCTACAAACTGTAGAGACGAGGTGGGGACGGCTCAGGGCACACAAAGAAGGTTCAGGGAGGAACGGGTTTGCTGGGAGGACCACAAACTCCTGTTTCTGCAGAATCTCTGTTGGCCACGCCAGACGCTTGTCTGCTCTAACGGAGGGTCAGTTGTCTCTGCAAGGCCAGCTGAGCTTCCTGTCGCCTTCGCTTGTAGGGCTGTACAACACCCCCATCATGTCTGGCTCCACCATACAGTCTCAGGGACTCCATTGCTCCTGAATGGAGATCAAGCCCCCTGGGACTCAAAGACATGGTTCTGATGACCACTGGAGCATCCCCCAGGGCCACCAGGCACTCCCCCTCCCTGAACACACTGGCTTCTTGTGGTTCTTCCTCCTGCCCCAGGATAGTGGCACATGACACCCTTCTCAAATTTCTCCTCTCCTCCCCCTCATCCTCCCTCCCCAGTTACCTGTCACCCCTACAGGCAGTGCACCTGGGTACCAGGCAAGAGCAGGCCTCCAGTGGCCTGTCCTCCACACCACATGCCTCTCATCTGCTTGCAAGATGTACTAGCCTCTGAGGGAAACGCCTGGGGCCCTGCTCAGCTCACCATGATTTCCCTGGTCCCTAAGCTGGCCCTGGCTCCTAGCTGACTGCTGCTGATCCGCTCACGCATGAACAACACTTCCACCTCTGCCCCTGGCTCCTGCTGGGGAGCTGGGCTGAACCGAGAAGGGGCCAGCCCTGCCTTTTAAACCTGGGCTAGCCGGAATCATTCATTCACTCATTTGTCTCTCATTTGTTCAGTTTACAGTTTTCCCAGCACCGTACCCCCAGGCATGGAAGGAAACTCACGCTTTGCACCTGGGTAGCTTCTCATTTGATTGGAAACTCCACAGCGAAAATGGTAATAAGCATGAATGGAGAACTTGGGGGGGCTTGACTAATGTGTGAGCACAGATGCTCCATGATCAGGCTCCTGTATGGTCACACACTTGCATATGCATGTGTGTTCACATAGACACACATTTACATGTACACACACAGGCACACACACACACAGCTGTGGACATACACACATGCTCCCCCACATATGCATACATACACATGCATACATCTGGGTACACACACGTATGCACACACATCCACACCCACATGCACACATACACACAGTTTTGGATGGACACACACATGTACACAGCTGTGACACACACATATGCCCCCCCCACATATGCATACATACACATGCATACATCTGGGTACACACACACATACATATCCACACCCACATGCACACATACACACAGCTTTGAATTGACACACACATGCACATAGCTATGGACACGGGGACACACATACACACACACACACTCACTCACACACTCCCCGGGGCAGCTGGACCCTCCTCAGGCCGGCAGACAGTTCCCCTTCTTTCCTTTCTCGGCTTCTTAGGGGCACAGTTCTGAGACCCAGGAGTTGGTCCTTTTTTGTGTCATCCTTGTGGTGCTGGGTGTGGAACCCGGGTGCTAGGAGCACTCCAGCCCCACCTTCCACTCTCAAGGATCTGAGCCCACTCCCTTGCAGACATATCCAGTCAGTGTGTCTGGGGAGGGACAGTACCTGCTGAGTCATGGTTTCTGTGACCCGCATGGATGACAGTCTGATGACAACAGTTTACCCAGAAAACCAGAGTCTCTGGGGGAGGAGCTGAAGGCTGTAGAGGATTTCTTGGCCAGCCCGTAAACTCAAAGCTACTGGTCCGAAGCTAAGGTGTGCTGAGCTTATGAATCACCACTGGTGGCAGATTATGTTCCTACTCTAGTTAGGCTAGAAGCATCTGGCAGGCTCAAGCCAGGGCTTGATGGCCCTCCCCTGCATGTCTGCCCAGTGCGAGACACATGGTAGACACAGGCAAAAGACCTGCTGATGGATTGCTCCTTAACCATGACAAGCTACTGCCTCGGAATTCCTCCTTCAACACAAGTTAGAACACAGGGTCCCCGAGTCTGTGGTAATAGTGATGTCGGTGGATCGCAACCCCTGCAGCTTTGTTGGGGTTGGGAAACTTATAGAGGAGTTTAGGGACCAAATCGCTTGTGAATGTGGGAGAGCCACAGCCTGCAGAGTGCCTCCCCACCCCACCAGGGAGACACACAGACACACAGGAGTGGTAAGCTCACCCCTCGGCTCTCACAGGACACCGAGGCCTCAGCAGCGAGAGTCTTCACGAACCGCTGGCCTCATGGTGGACGCCAGGCAGGATGGCCTCAAGCTGCACAGTGTGTACCCATGTATTCCTCTGAGCAGACAGACACTTTCTCAGTGCTGACACCCCACAGCAGACAAGCAAGGGCCCCAGGCGGAGGAGAAGCCTTATTTTGTGGCTTGTTGATGTCAGTCTTCAAGCTGATAGGATAGACATTGTCAGATGTCACTCAGACCCACCATCCTCCTCCACCCTTCTCTGCTAAGGGCTCTGAGACCCAACTTGGGACAAAGGAACTTCTCCAGAGGGAGAGGAGAGAGGCAGTCTAAGGGACAGCATTGCGGGTGGCGGGAAGAGGGGAGGGACTCGCGCCTCTGCAGACTGGAAGACCAACCATTGAGCAGCAAACTTCTCAGGGAGCTTTGAAAAAACACTGGAATTTATCTTGGGAGGGTCCTACCCCATGCATTGTGATTTCATCGGTCTGGGTGGGGCTCCCCAAGAAGATTCCACCATGTAGCCCGAAGTGGGAAGCCCAGGCTTCTACTCCAGTCTGTCTTCTGTCTCCACACCTCCTCCACTCCTTCACCTCCCTCTCCTCTCCTAATGGCTCAGCCCACCACAGTGATCTTGCCATGCTGGAGGGGTCCTGGGGTTTCCTCTCTCTGCAGACCTGACCTCTTCAGCTCTCTACCCTAGCTCCTGCCGGCCTGGGAATCACCCATTTAAACCTACACCAAACAGGAGTGTGGATGGGACCATGGGCCACAGGGGGTCTGGATTCCAGAGGGTGGCATGCCCAAGGCCTGTGCTGACATGAAGCAAACTTTCTACTCTCTCAACTTGCTTTCTCATCTGGAGAGTGACATACCCACCCTGGTCAGTCCCTTTGTGACGGTGGTGGGAGATCCTCAGCCTCTGTCCTCCACCCTGCTGCCTCTCCCCTAATGCTCAGAGCCTAGGTACATGCCAGGGGCCCAAACATAAGCAATACCTCCCCAGCCACACAGAGTAATCACCTCCATTATCTAGCAATCGTGACCCGCACAAAGATGTGTGTACACAAACCACCTATGTCCTAAGTGCCATTCAGCAGAGCGAGGAAGCATGGTGGTGGTGATGGTGGTGAAGAAGATGATGATAGTGATTATGATGATGGTGGTGATGGAGATGATGATGGTGATAGTGATGGTAATGATTGATGGTGATGGTCATAGTGATGGTGGCGATGATGGTGATGGTTATGATGGCGATGATGATGGTGATAGTGATGGTAATGATTGATGGTGATGGTCATAGTAATGGTGGCGATGATGGCATTACTGATGGTGATAGTGATTATGATGATGGTGATGGTGGTAATGTTATAAATTAACTCACCTAACACTTCACTCCAGAGTGTTCAGAGAAGTACACCAAGGCACAGGGTTACAGTACATGATTGTGGCTGACCAGGGACAGGTGTTTAACCCAAACCTTCCGAGTCCAGAGCTGCGGTGACATCTCCCTTTACATGGGCTGCATGACTGTTGAGAGCTAGTTGCAAACAGGCTATTGGATGTATGTGGACACGGACCCTTATTTACATGCCTGAATAAAATTAGAAGATTTTACAGTTAATTTAGCCCATTGGACCGTTACACTGGTTAATCCAAATCAGCCGCTCGGCTTGATCTTTCATGAAATCGACTGGCACTGTTGTTACTTGGATAAGCGTGCGGAGGAAACCCTCCCCATGTAGACTTGTAGCCAAAGCAACTGACGACATTCTGCCATCTGCAATTATTCAGCGGAAAATTTGTCCTAATCTCTGAAAGGATGTTTCGAAGCAAGTCAGCTCTTTATCGCCAAGCGCACTGCAGGAACAGAGTGAGCAGCCCGGCTGGCCTCTCAGACTGTGGCTGTTTCAAGGCATGCATGGTTTCCCTTGAAGCTGCACTGTGATGGCTGACCAAGCCTGTAGGTCTCCCTTCCTACAGTTCTGTACTGTTCCAGTGGGAGAGACATGGAGTGCAGAGTGACCAGGGTCTGGGGATAGGTAGCCACTGTGAACACAGGTTATTTGGCCCTTGGGCCCAATCATCTACTGAAGATTACAGAAGAGAATAAGTTGAGAGACTCCCCTGGTCAGGCGCTCTCAGCAGGAAGTCATAGAGAGGACCTTGGGAAAGTCAAGGTCAAGGGTGCTGACTGGACAGGACTTGGTGCTCTCCTTCCTCTGGAGTGGAAAATCAGAGCCTTAGGGTGGAGAAGAGAAAAGAAATCATATTACAACATTTTATGCTATTTTATAAAATAAGGAAATAGTGGGCTCTCCGTGTGTGTGTGTGTGTGTGTGTGTGTGTGTGTGTGTGTGTGTGTGTGTGTTGGAGAGAGAGAGGGTGTGTGAGAAAATGTTTTGGCTGGTAGATATTATCAGTGTATTAGTTGGTTTTCTCGTTGCTGAGACCTGAAGTCTGAGAGAATGTACAGGAAGAAGGACTTATATTGGCTCACGGTTTCAGGGGATACAATCCCTCATGGCAGACATAGTCAGTTTGCATCTGACACAGTGCAAGCTCACAGCATGGCTTATTCATATCTTGGGACCCCGTGTTTAAACCGAGCCCATGTATTCATCTCACATCCATAGCATCACTAATGGAATCCTGAGCCCTGAGAAGAGATGGGTCTCCACAGCCCTTTGTGTGAGCTGGAAACAGGTGTGGGTTTGTTTCCCAGGAAGAGATCTGTGTGGAAGGAAGTTAAAAGCATGGGTGTGGACAGCTAGCTGAGCACAGAATGGTTGCTTTGTCTATATTCAATCATTGCTATATTTACAAGTATATATGTAGGCAGTCCAGAGCATAGCCAAGTGTCCAAATGGGGAATCACAGCTCTGACTAGGGGGTCAGGTAGAGTTCTAACAGCCGTGGATGAGGTAGTGGTTGGTCATTACCAAGACCCACAAAGGTAAGGTGAGCACAGTCTTCCTCCTTGGTACTGACATCTTTGTTGCGGAGTGTCAATATCTGGGTTGCTAAGACAGACCAACAATCTATGTTCTCTGTGGATGAACTGTGGGGTGGGCTTTCCAGGGGTCTTTACTCCTGCTCACACAGGTGTCTGTAGACCATCAGCAGCTGTCTCTTATGGTGGTATTCTAATTGTACTGAAATGTGATTTTGATTGTATGTTAATAAATAAAGTTGCCCGGGGGTCAGAGCTATTAGAGCCATAAACAGAGTGTGGCGGTGGTGGCACACGCCTTTAATCCCATAGATCTCTGTGTGTTCAGGGATACAGCCAGCATTGGAGACATATGCCTTTAAGACCTGGGGGGCTGTACATTCAGACAGTGACGAGGCAGTCACGTGTTTGGGTTTACAACCAATGAGAAGGCAGAATGACTATGAAACAACGTACACACAGGGAAATAGCTCTTTCGGGAAGCTGGGACAAAGCAGGAGGAAGGGTGAGATTTTAGCTCTGAGCTCTGACCTCTTGGCTTTCTCTTTTACATTGTTTCTGTGTTTCTTATTTAATAAGATAGTTGGTTACATCTACAGTCTCTTGATGCCTTTTTCTGCCACGCCCTCATGGTGAAGCAGAAACACCTGCCCCGGCCTTTGTGGCCCTGTTTTTTGGGCTCTGGAGACAGATCCCTTTGTTGGCTGTTTTCTGTGGCTGCATCAGTGAGAGACTTATCACAGTGTTAGGGGACATCACACCCCCAAACCCTAACCCTGGCCTTTTCCAGTGTCCCTATCACCATGAGGTCAGGACCCTCATTATGGAGTTCATGACGTAGAACTGGATGTGGTGCTGTGGGGGAATTCAGGCTTCATGTTGCCCAATTTAGCGTCATGGAATTCCTTTTGTAAGGGAAAACATGAAGCCTCCAAAGTCATCATCTTGAATGGCTATGTGAGACCGGCTGGAACAGAAAGGCAGTGGGCAGAAGACAGGTCTGAACTCCAGATACACCAAGGAAACCTAGGGAAGGGCCTGGAGAAGGTTCCAGATTAAAGGAAGCTAAGCAGGACCTGGGGCAGGGGCTCAACCGGTAGAGCTCACCTAGCATGCACGGAGCCCTGGTTCCATGTAAACCAGGCACTCAGGAGGCGGAGGCAGGAGCATCAGGAGATCAAGGTCAGGCTTGGCTACGTGAGACTGTTGAGAAAGAGAGGGGGTGGGGGGGAGACAGAGAGACAGAGACAGACAGAGAGGCAGAGTAACCCGAGGTATAAAATGTTACAGCAGGTGAGGACCTGCTCTGGAAAGCAAGGGTGATGAGAGCAGATGGGAGGAAGGGTGAGGTTAACATGGCGATGTGGCTGGAGGATCAGCGGGCACACAGGACACCTGCACCCGCGCTGTATGGAGGCTGAGGATCAACGGGCGCACAGGACACCTGCACCCGCGCTGTCTGGAGGCTGAGGCCTCTCCTCCACAGCTGCCTGCTAAGCCCAGCAAACACCATGAGGCTCATGAAAGACGGAGGGACGGAGAGCAAATGTGGCTCGAGGGCCCCAGTAGCTGTTCTAAGGACAGGAAGGGACACTGTGCAGTGTAACGGCTGGAATTGTCCATGGCTGTGTTCAAATGGTTTTCAACATTAACAAACAAACAAGCAAAACCCCGAGAAAGGCAAATCAAATGGGAGGATCAGGCCAGCTAAGCAGAACCATCAGGGCCTGCTCTTCTCTGCAGACTCTGGCCCCAGGCTGCCCCATAAGACGGTCTCTATCGGTGGACGTAGCCCAGGTCATTCCTAGGTCCTGGGTGTCACCCATCTGGCCAGGGCTTTCTCCTAACTGACACTGCACACCGCACTGGAACTGTAAGGAGACAAAGCAGGAGGTGTATGCTGGAGCTCCTCACAGGACAACTGGAAGATGACGTTCAGGCATTGTGGGCTTGGAAAGAATTGTGCAGGCTATACAGCAGCCAGGGAGGCTCCATGGCAGCCTCTGTTGTGACGGTGTTAGAGATAGATGCCCACATAGCCAGTACTCAGTGAGGCTCAGGAATGCATGGTGCTGGCTTCGAGGACGACACTCTGGGCACCGACTAGTCTGACCTGAAGGCCCTGCTGGGGGCCATGTGCTCACATCTGACTTTCTTTCTCTTCAAACCAGGCCTTCCTCCATCCCTAGGTATTGTCTGTCAAGCTTGGCTCTGAACACCAGCTACCTCTGAACAATTACGTATCAGCCCAGGACAACGTGGATGTCCACCAACCCATTTCACAGATGAGGAGTTAGTGACACTAAACAGGAAGCGCGCTGCTGAGAACAGTGTCCCCAGAAAGACACACCCAAATCCTCATTCCATACTCCAGAATGTGGCCTCACTGCCAAACAGGGTCTTTGTGAGTGTGGCCAGGATGGAATGAGGTTATATGGGTTCCAATGGGTCCTGGCACTCAGGCTGATGCCCTAGTGGGGATGTGAACACAGATACAGAGAAGCACAGAACAGGCTTGGGGTGATGCTGCTGCTGGTCCAGAAGCCCAAAGGATCAACATAGTCAAGCAGAACTTTCCAGTGACGTTTTCAGTGGAGCCCACCCTGCAGGAAGCCCAGGCACGGAGTCCTCACACGCTTCCTGCTGTCATTTGGAGAACAATGTGCCTTATTTGTGAGCTCATCCTCCACTCCAACCCCCAGAACAGAGCCACGGACCCCACAGGAAGAAGAAACACGAGTCCAAGGGCCACTCTTTCCCCACCTCACTCCCCTTGG